ACATATCTATTTTGGTACACCGTACCTACATCCACGGACCAAAAATCCATATCGATGTATTATTCATTGAAACTTATTATCTACATAATACTCAACCTTATTTATAAGGATAAAATATTATAACTCAAACTTATTCAGATACAACTTGATCTCTATGGTTTCTATCACATGTTTAATATATTTATTCATGATATATTAAAAATCTTCCAATATAAATAGGATTTTCACATTGATTACCCAATAACTTATCACTCATGATAATTAGAGAGTTTGAATTAAATTCTAAAGCCTCTCTTGAACCAAACTTTTCAAATTTGGTCATGCCCAAGATCGAGTTTATCACACTTGATTCTGATTCACTAATTTTTTCAAGTACTGCTCTCCGAAGTCGCCACAACCTTCTCTGTCTTTCTTGAACATGCGACTTGCATCATTTGTGCAACTCTGTCTGCGTCTTACTTGCTCTTGAGAGATTTCAATGACCTAGTTACGAAACACTACATCATGACTATTGGGGTTTCTGTCAGTCCAATAGCTCCAAAATCGTTGAAATACTGCGACTTTAACTCTAAGAGCTCAAAATCTTGAAAAAAACATCTTCAACATAACACGTGTGGTAATTCTTGAAATGTAAATAATCAGGAAACAACTTAGTATTCTATTTAATTTCATATCAACTTAACATTTTTTTCTTATGAATCTAATTACTTACCATCGTTGAAGAGAAAGCAGCCACTCTAAGTACGGCCAACGGTCAATAACCTCTGTTGCAGAAATCTACAGTTATCCTTTGTACTTGTTCTAGCCTTAGAGTTCTTCGTGGGTTGGTAAGAAGTCCGATGGACAGGGTCCAAGCATTTAGGTCGGCATGGAGTCCGCTTCTTGGCGGTGAACCATGACTAGTCATCGGATCTCAGCATATAACGCATGGCAGACGTTCATTTCTAACTAAAAACCACTTGGCACCTTCTGGTGTGACAAAGAACCACCAAACCCCGTCTGATAAGCCACTCACATGCTCCTGACATAGACGAGTATGGCAGTCAATCAACATTCATCGACACTCAATCCCCATCAATTTTCACTATTTTTCAAACCAAACTCACACTCAAGTTGTCCAATTATTAATGTCCCTCATTTAAGAGGGGTAGAATGTAAGTAACACAAAAAAATAATAGAGCAGTGATTAGCAAATTATTCATCCTCTTCTCACAAACAATTTCTTTCACTTATACATTATACATGTGCGTGCAGGATCTTGTCCAATATAAACACGAAAACAGATCTCTTCCGTGGTGAACTCGAGTCAGTCAATCGAATGGTCAACCTTACTACTCGGAACAGACTGTGAGGTCCGGTGGTAACTTGGGACGGTAATGGGTGACTTTCGTGGATCAACGGAGTGGTCCAGTTGGAACAAAAAAAAAATGAGTTAGGAGGGCGCCGGAGTGTTTTTCGGCGTATCTCCTCCGACGATCAAGTCAGTTCTTTGAGAGAGAGGAAAGAGAAAACACTGTATTTTTTTGAGAAAAAAGTTTTTTGTTGCATACCGTCTTGCCTTTTATGAAGAGTATTTATACCTCAAAAACTCATGATTACTGTCAGTGTGGTCATTAAGTGATCATTAGATACGGGCAACATGCGCACTGATTCCTATGAGGAATGTCTTCTCTCTTAATTGCTCGGGACCCCGAACAACCAATGCTTCGTCATCGGCCTGCTGAATGTTTAATGAGCTTCTCTCGGCAAAGATGTAATAAATGTCCAGTCATAGGGACATTTATTACCTTTCACTTCCGAGCCTTCCTGCATTAAATGATGTATCATCAAGGAAATGGTGCACTAAATGCTTGCTTTCTCAAGTCGTGTGTCAGCAAGGGCACCTCGATCTTTTTGTCTCTGATCTGACACAATATGTCACGCACCCATTCCCCATTGGTTGTGTCTTCTGTCTTCTTGTGCCTTCTGACACCAATTATGTAAGACGAGGTCATAATGACTAGCCTAGCCGAGCCTAGGCTAATGACCTGTACATCAATAGCTTCTGCAGGAGCAGAGAACGTCATCCTGGACGGGTACATCTCAGTACCGAGGGGAGTGGTACATGTAGGGACCGATGTATCCCATATCCGACCGAGGGATATGTGTCGGTACGTAAACGTATTAGGTGTCATTTATCCCTATGAACAGTACCTCGGGGGAAGAGGGACTTGTGAACTGACGAGTACGTGTCGTAATCACAGTAACAAGAATTTACTGATGTCAAGGACACGTGTCTTCATTCTGAAGTATTTGAAAATGTCCCATCAATACATTAGACATAGGGATGACACTAGACTGGGGGCATGGGTGGGGGAGTCATAACACATAGCAAGATTATAGAAGTTAGTTAGTAATTCTGTTAGGTTGTTAAGTCTGTTAAAGAAATGCTGAGTTAGAACTCAGCTACACTGTTATATGGTGAGGAATAATTTTTCCTGTATATGCCCTTGTAATCTTTGCAAATGAAGGAGAATGGAAAACATGTTTCTTCCTAATTTTTTTTTTTATGTCTTCTTCTTCTTTCAGTTTTCCAAACTCTTACCTTGATTCTATCAGAGAGTAATCTCCATCTCTGTACCTACTTAAAACATTTGGTCCATTCCCTTTAACGGGACTAGTTTTTATCTCTATCACTGTCCACGGTAAATTTTAATCCTCGCCCCCGTCCCGCTCGTGCCTTCAACCCCCCCCCCCCCTTTTCAAGCCTAAGCCCAAGTCTAACATAATAATCCAACATTCTAAATAATCCAACATAATTATAAAATATCATCACATAATTAAAAGTTTGAACTCTATATATCACTTCCAAGCCAAGTTTTGGTATATTCTAGTTTTGACAAACTTCACTCAATTAGCACTCCAAAAAAAAAAAAAGAAGAGTGAACATAAAGCATGAAGAGTTTCTATGAACGACAGAAAATATATATATATATTAATTGTCTAATACGTATGGTCTATCTCCGATTCAAACAGAATGAGTTTGGATGAATCCTTATTTTTCTACGGTGCACTACCATTCTAATGCAGGAGGATCTGAGTCAAATGATGGTGCTGAGGTACCTTGAGTTAGCTGATTAGTGCAATTAGAAATTCAAGTCTAAGAAGGATTGACACTGTTTTGATTATAACTTTTGACCCGTTTGGAGTTTCGGGGCCCATAATATATCAAATCGAAACTCTTCACGAGCCCTACAAGACTTATAGCCTATAGCGGTGACAGGCATTGTTTAAAGCCAAAAAAAGGCCTAGAAATGTGTGTTTGGATCTTTCGAAGTTTTTTTCAGTTTTGAGTTTATTTGGATTTTTTCGTAATTTAATTATTCCTTGTGTAATTAGGGTTTCCAGCTTATTGTTTAGTATTTAAAGGATGTTTTCATGTGTTTTAGGGTTAACCATCATTATTCTAATTTTATAAAGATTGTGGCTGCTTAGTCAATTTTTTTTTGAGCTCTGTGAATTATCTGTTGAAACTAGTTTGCAAAATAATTGTTATTCTGTCCGGCTTCACATCCCTAATTAAACCCGCTCACTAGGTTGGGTGTCGGAGGTGATTCAATTGATGCCCTCTTTGTTAATTTCCCACTTGACAGGCTTCTGACCTCAGAATTTCACAAAGAGCGGGGTCATCACTCTTAACTCATCACAATCCTTGTAGGGTTGAAGCCATCAACTTGCTGATCTCTCCTAGCACCTCGCCCCACCGACCCTTCCACGAGGTCTAACCTTGTATGTTATCAATCTTTGACAAAGGAAAAACAATTGCTCTACTAGAACAACGGCCGACTATAGTTAAATAGACAACTGGTCCTCCCAGTATCTCTCTTACGGTTTTACGGCGAATCAAAAAGATAAAATTTTGATTTTTTTTAGACCATTTTCAATGGAGATGCATACCCTTATCAACGTGAACTAACAAAACTTACAGCAAACACAAGTCCTAATTAAGCTAGTTTGTAGTTGCTAGCTCTTGGTATTCTGCAGCAGCAGTGAAAAGATTTTGATGTGTTAGAGCCTTGATAAACCTAGTCTTCAGATCATTAGTTAACAAAAAAGGTTACAGCAAGTTTGAAAAGTGAAGACGAACTCGAGATAGATCCTTTTTCTATTGGAAAAATAATTTGAATGCCTTATCAATTGCACACGGGAGATTTCCCGTAATGAATAGAGATAGCGATTCTCTCGATGGTGAACCTGAAACGATCAACGAGGATTATACTTATCCCCTCCGAAGCTTAAATCAGTGAGTGTTGGAGGCTTTATCACAGTGTATTTTCTCCGTTTGCATACCTTTGTTCATCTTTCTGAAGAGTATTTATACCTGTACCAGTAATTAGTGCAAGGATCTTGAGTCCAATCACGACATTTAATGACTTGCACTCTTCTCCATGCGTAATGAGCATTCTTCACTCAAATTCTTGTGAGCGTTCAATGCTCGGGTGATACGACAAGTGCTCGGGTGCATGCCGAGTACTAATGACTATCTCTGATCAAGTTCTTCTGATCGGTGTTGGACACCTATTCACGAGTTTTTAATGCTTAGGGTACAGTACCTCAAGATTTGTCGAGGACACTTGGTCGGCATTATGACCATTAATGCTTTACAATCATAATTGTCAGTTTGGGGCCTCGAGGATGCAGAGGTTCATTAATAACCATGTCACAGTCACTCAAGTCCTCATTAATGAGCTGTCATATCTCCTTAAATACTAATCCCAGCTTATTCACTCGGCTCTTTTGAGTAATAACTCATTGGTGCCATCTCCCGGCGCCTTTTGAGTTCCATATGGACTGTATTAATCCACGTGTCAATTTGGGGACCGGGGACTGGTAAGCCGCCTAAAGTCCTGACGTCAATAAACATTTCTTGCTCACAATTGTGACATCAATCATTCAAAATGTAAATCTCATAGATACAGAAAGACTCACGAGATAAAATATAGATCGCAACTTGGGTCTTCTTAGTCTTCATCAACATAGATGGTTTCTTGCTGAAACAAGCCACCAAAAACCTTCCTCACTTCTTTTTTAGAATCTGTTTGCTTGGCTTCTGATTTAGATTTCAAAGCAGGAGGTTTTTGGGTTGATTTTGTGAAGAATGATTTCTGGGCAGGCAAAGTCTGAGCCTTGGCCTGTCCCCTGACCGTGGCAATCCGCACTTTAGGTTCCTCGGTAGGCTTTTGAACAGATGATGAAAGCTGTGAGCTGAATTTTTCCCAAGACAGCCCCAAACTTAAGCCTTTTGCTTTGTCCACGAGGTTCTCAACCGAAGTTCCTGCAGCAGCTGCCTTTTCTTGGGCTTTTTCGGCAAGATTAGCAGCCCGAACTTCTTGCTCTTCCAGTTTTTTTACCTCTTCTTCAAGCTTCTTTGTTGCTTTGGCGGCTTCACGAGCACTCTCAGTAGCATTTATGGCTTCTTCCTCAGCTTTTGCCTTTGCAAGAGCTTCTGCAAAAGCCTTTCTTCTTCCATCCTCAGGAATGGCACTAAAAGCAATTTAAAACTCACCCAATTAAACTATGTTCTGTTTACAAGCAAGGGGCAAATGGGTTTTCATTTTCATATATATGTCAAAGTTTATTTCTGCACCTACTGCAGGAATTCATTATTAAAAAACTGTGACAGAAATGTACTTACCTGAAAAGTTCATTTAGAGACCTAGACGGTGCTGATGGATCAGTACACACTTCCACAACCTGGATACAGGAAAGAGAAATAGAAATGTTGGGTTAAGTGGAGAATTAATACCAATTCACAAGTCGATCCATGATGAAAAAAACTAACATAGGAGCAATTAGGCATTTGACCTCTAACCCTAGTATCTTCGTTAGAGTTCTGTTATATGTTTTCTAATTTCTCTCCATCTTCCATAGATTGTTCACAGATATAATATACAAAAGAAATACACTTCAACGTTTTCCACAATGGATCATGCTTCAACCTAGTACAAAAAACTTAAAGAGAATCTTTCAAAACCTATGCATGACTCCACCATGGGGGTAGCAAGTTTTTTTATGCTTCCTACCCTTGAAACATACCTTGTTTTCTGCCACTTCAGTGTTGGAGAAAACGTCTGCCACCAGCGAAGCTATCTGCAACTTTGCAACCTAGTTTTTCAGAAAATAGGAGATATAAGAGTAAGACAAAGAATGTCACATCATCTAGTACACAACTTTAATAGCTATTCATATGTAGCTGCTCGGTGAATCCAGTATAGCAGTATAGCAGTAATGTTTCCCAAAATTAAAAGCTTCTAAGACGTTATACAATGAAAAAAGAAATAATTGCATACATTACATTACTTTGTAGTCGTTTGCACCAGCACTTCCTTCAGCTGTCACGACAACATTGTAAGAACTCTCGGTAGAGAAATCCTCTGTTAACCTGGTCTTTATGAGTGTGTAGCTAACATCCGTCTCAACTAACTTTTGCAAAAACTCTGACAATGTTAATGGCTGTGATCGCGAAAACAGATTGTTAAAGAATGATGAGAGACCATCCAATACATTGTAGGTTGAGGAATTCATCAATGTTCCATCATAGACAATGGCCACATGACCAACACCAGCCAATTGGGCAGCTTGTATCACTTGTAGGGCGTCTGATGTGGTGACCTCAGTTGTTGGACCATTTTCTGCTGGACCAATAGTAACTACGACTTTGCTAGCGTTCCCAATTGCTTTTGCAATTGATTCAGCATTTTGAAATGTGGACTCAACAGCATTGAGTCGTCTTGATTCTTCATTAGAGATTATCTGCAGCGGTGATGCAGCATGATAAGAAAAATCAGCAGTAGTTTAACAAACCAAAATATTCGCCTCCCAAGTCACAAACTTGAGGATCATTTCTATTGTGTGCCAGTTGGTGAAGGAAAAATCAAGATTGAGTTGTTGGTGAAGGAAGAATCAAGATTAAGTTGCAAACTCCAAGTTTGAATAGCTCAATTCGGCTCTTCCGTTGCACCCACTCCCATCACAAAAATAGCAATAGACCATGAAATTCTGGAGTAGAATTTACTCCACCAGCTGGGATTTTTATGTCTATATGCAATGTACCAATTCCACCCCTTTACCAGTTACCTCTGCTCACATTTTCTACTATACCCAATGACCAACTTGGTATGCAGAGAGGGTTAATATGATGTGTGTTTGCTAAATAATATTCCATGCAGCCAAACTTTCTGTTTTCGAAACAGATTGAAAGAGGAAGAGACAATAATTAATTTCTACTTTTGCACATTGTCTTCATGCATGTTTTATTAATTCCATCATATAAAATCTAGAAGTTCCGACATTTCACAGATTGAGGCTATGTAAGTGACTCAACATTTCATCAGCTGAAGAAGCTAACCTTGTATTCGGCAGCAAGACGAGCTAGCTCCTGCGCCGCACTTATGTCTGGGACACCGGCTCGAATGCTGAAACCTTCACGCAGAAGTGCTTGCGCAATGCGAATTCCAGCCTGCCCAGTTGCACCAGCAACAAACACCGTTCGTGGGTCTTTACGCCTCCGGTTAAACGTCAACGCTGAAGATGGGTTAGTCCCAACCCCAACTGGGATCAAAGATTTCACGTCCGGTAACTTCCCAAAGTCGAACCGAAATGGTTTGGAATTGCCTGAACTCTCCTCTTGACTTTCTTCAGAGGATGATCCTGAGTTGTTCGACTGTTTGCCTAGCCGAAAGGGTGGGAATGGTCCAGCCTTCTTGGCAAACACTGTGAATACTCTTGGGTTCTTGAGAGAGAGTCTTGAATTGGGTGTGGTGGTTAAGAGGAATGAATTGGAAGTGAGAGTTGGAGCCATGAATGGATGAAAGATACAACAATTTTTTTTTTTTGCAGGCTCTCTGGCTGGATTGAGCTATTTTGAGCTTCCAATTCTCAAAACCACCATTGGGAATGGACTGCTAGTAAGCATATCTGTGAGTTGGATGTGGAAAGAATGGTTCATTTTCCTCTGAACTTTGTTTGGATAAAGAACAATGAGGAAATAACCAGTCAGATTGAGCCACGTACGTAGATTTTATCTACAACAGAAAAATAGACACCATACATTTTTTGTGTACAACTATCCAGAAAATCAAACTGTGCCCAATTGGATTTGGCATAATCTTTTTCTTTTTCTTTTTTCTTCTTTCCTTTTTTTTTTTTTCGGTTCTAATAAAGATATTTCAATCAATTTATATACACTACGACTAATCCCCTAATACATTTGTCTAATGATATTCCAACTTCCAACAATTAGTATATTCCACTAAGGTTCACCTACTTATCCGATCAATGTCGTTGTGTGGAATTGAGTTGGATTGAGAAGGATAAAGAGGCAAACTTATTCCGTTAATGTCGATCATACAAACACCCTTTAATAACGTTAGACCCTAAGGATTATTAGTAATTATAATGAGCTCCTCGAGTCTGATAAATAACATTATTATTCTTGAAATTTGGGTTATGTGTAACACTAGTTCATCGTTTTTGTTTAATTATGGAATTTTATTTTTTACAAAAAAAATTTCAAATTGTCCATATGGACTTGTTACCATTCAAGTCAAAATGCAACCACAATTGAATTTTCATCAAAACTCGGGGTGTTTGTTTCACCGAATAATAGAATTTTGTTGGAAAAAAGATAGTAAGAAAAAATAGTAGTAATTGAAGTCTTTGCCGGTAATGGAAAAAAAAAGAGAAAAGTGTGAAAAAGTACACCATCAACTATTTATTTGTGATAAAATATCTTAATATAAATTTTATGTGTATAAATCCTTTTTTGTATAAATATTTTGTAAACAGATACACTTTGATTTTTGTTTAATATTTTATTTACGTAAAAATCCTTTTTCCTTTATTCGTGGAAATTAAGTTGGGCAATTAATTGTGGAATTCAATTTTCTATTTTATTGGGGCAATTTTTTTATTCTATTTTAATGGCTAAGTGATTTCTTAAATTAAAAAATAATTAACCGTTTGAATTTTGAAAGAATTACACTAGTTTTAAAAAGATTTCCTACTCACCGTTAATATCTCTCTCCCTATTTTATCTCTCCCTCTATATTCTCTCTTCCATCGTTACTCTCCTCTCTTCTCTCTCTCTTCTCCCTCTTTTATTTTCTCTTTTTATTTATGCAATGTTAGATTTTAGTCACATTGTGTGATACCCACCTTATGCAAAATATTGTATATGATTTTTTTTTGCTGTGTAACATTAGAGTCACACTTTTGGTGCCCACACCATAAAAAAAATGCATATGATGTGTAGTTACATTATGACGTTAACTTCATACTGTGATACTTACCATGTGTTTTTGAATCTAGAAAAATAATTCTTATCTTAAAAAGTATTTAAAATTAAAAAATTTTGATTTTGCATTAACTTTATTTTGGTCACAATTATATATATATATATATATGTGTGTGGTGTGTGTGGTGTGTGTGTGTGAGAGAGAGAGAGAGAGAGAGAGAATGAAATAGTTTTAATATAAAAAAATCCTAAATTTTAAGAATTTTAAAAGAATTGGAAAAATTTTCAAATTTTCAAATTAAGAAATTTAAAATTTATTTAAGTTTTGAATTTAGTTATATATGTATAGATCTATCTAATAAAGTAGATAGAATTCTTTGTCTTTAGCTTTTTGCTGCTCAGATTAATTAACGATTATTGATTCAACGGTTCTAATTCTAAATTTTCTCTCCTAATTTTTTGAATAAGACTTTCATACCTTTTACAATTTTATGACTTCTATCTCTCTTATAACTCTCTCTATATCTCATATTACACATTAATTAGATCGTTAGTTATGATTCTATATAATTAAGAATTATTTTTAAAATTTTTAAATAAATAAATGAACCTTAAATACAAATTATTTGCGTCAAAACGAGTTGATTGACTATAATATATGTCATATTTTTGTATTGAAATAAAAAATATTATAATATTCATATA